TCTCTCTTCTCCTTCCTTCCCATTTCCCCCTCACTTTCTCCCTCCCTCCCTCCTCTCTCACTTCTCCCTCCCTCATTCCCTTTTCCTCTCTCACCTTCTCTCCCTCCTTCCCACCTTTCCTTTTCCTCCCTCACCTTCTCTGTCCCTCCTCCCTCACTTTCTCCCTCCCTCCCTCCCCCTTACCTCCTCGCCCCCCCATCCCCCTTTTCTCTCATGCAGACAACACACAGGGAAGGAAGACTAGACGGTGAGACATTTTTCTTTTCTTTTTTCTTTTTTTATTCCGCATCTTTTCGTCCTGTTGTCGTTTTTTCTTCGTCTTTCATCTTCTTCTTCTTCTTCTTCTTCTCCTTCTTTAAGAAAGTGATGTGAGCGTTGGTCGATGATGGTGATGATGATGATGATGGTGCTAATGGGGAAAGCTGTGATGGTGATTGTTGTTGGTGATGTTTGAGACTGTGCTGTTGGTGGAGATTATGGTGATTTTGTGTGATTAGAGAATGATTGGTGGTGCTATGGTGAAAGCAGTGAATGGTTAATTTTGATGGTGTGTTGGTGGTGAAAGCTTTGATGGTGAAATTTTTGTTTGGTGTGGTGAAAGCTTTGATGTGAATTTTTGTTGGTGATAGTGAAAGCTTTGATGGTGAATTTGGGTGATGGTGAAAGCTTTGATGGTGAATTTTGTTGGTGATAGTGAAAGCTTTGATGCTGAATTTTGTTGGTGATGGTGAAAGCTGTGATGGTGAATTTTGTTGGTGATGGTGAAAGCTTTGATGCTGAATTTTGTTGGTGATGGTGAAAGCTGTGATGGTGAAATTTTGTTGTTGGTGATGGTGAAAGCTTGATGGTGAATTTTGTTGGTGATGGTGAAAGCTTTGATGCTGAATTTTGTTTGGTGATGGTGAAAGTGAAATGTGAAAGCTGTGATGGTGAATTTTGTTGGTGATGGTGAAAGCTTTGATGCTGAATTTTGTTGGTGATGAAATTGATTGAATTTTGTTGTGAGCGTGAAAGTTTGATGCTGAATTTTGTTGTGATGGTGAAAAGCTTTGATGGGTGAATTTTTTGTGATGGTGAAAGCTTTGATGGTGAATTTTGTTGGTGATGGTGAAAGCTTGATGCGAAATTTTGTTGGTGATGGTGAAAGCTTTGATGCTGAATTTTGTTGGTGATGGTGAAAGCTTTGATGTGAAATTTTGTTTTGGTGAAAGCTTTGAAATTTTGTTGGTTGATGGTGAAAGCTGTTGATGTGAAATTTTGTTGGTGATGGTGAAAGCTTTGAGGTTTGTGAATTTTGTTGATTGTGAATTGATGGTGAATTTTTTGGTGAGTAGTTGAAGCTTTGATGGCGAATTTTGTTGGTGATAGTGAAAGCTTTGATGGCGAATTTTGTTTGGTGATGGTGAAAGCTTTTGATGCTGAATTTTGTTGGTGATGGTGAAAGCTTTTGATGGTGAATTTTGTTGGTGATGGTGAAAGCTTTGATGTGTGAATTTTGTTGGTGATGGTTGAAAGCTTTGACTGAATTTTGTTGGTGATGGCGAAAGCTTTGATGGTGAATTTTGTTGGTGATGCGAAAAGCTTTTGATGGTGAATTTTGTTGGTGATGGGTGAAAGCTGTGATGGTGAATTTGTTGGTGATGTGAAAGCTTTGATGCTGAAATTTTGTTGGTGATGGCGAAAGCTTTGATGGTGAATTTTGTGGTGATGGCGAAAGCTTTGATGCTGAATTTTGTTGTGATGGCGAAAGCTTTGATGGTGAATTTTGTTGGTGATGGCGAAAGCTTTGATGCTGAATTTTGTTGTGATGGCGAAAGCTTTGATGGTGAATTTTGTTGGTGATGGTGAAAGCTTGATGAATTTTGTTGGTGATGGTGAAAGCTTTGGATGGTGAATTTTGTTGGTGATGGTGAAAGCTTTGATGGTGAATTTTGTTGGTGATGGTGAAAGCTTGATGGTGAATTTTGTTGGTGATGGTGAAAGCTTTGATGGTGAATTTTGTTGGTGATGGTGAAAGCTTTGATGGTGAATTTTGTTGGTGATGGTGAAAGCTTTGATGGTGAATTTTGTTGTTGATGGTGAAAGCTTTGATGCTGAATTTTGTTGGTGATGGTGAAGCTTTGATGCTGAAAATTTTGTTGGTGATGGTGAAAGCTTTGATGCTGAATTTGTTGGTGATGGTGAAAGCTTGATGGTGAATTTTGTTGGTGATGGTGAAAGCTTTTGTTGTTGGTGATGATGCTGAATTTTGTTGGTGATGGTGAAAGCTTTGATGCTGAATTTTGTTGGTGATGGTGAAAGCTTTGATGCTGAATTTTGTTGGTGATGGTGAAAGCTTTGATGGTGAATTTTGTTGGTGATGGTGAAAGCTGTGATGGTGAATTTTGTTGTGGTGAAAGCTTTGATGGTGAATTTTGTTTTGATGGTGAAAAGCTTTGTATGCGTGATTTTGTTGGTGATGGTGAAAGCTTTGATGGGTGGAAGTTTGTTGGTGATGGTGAAAGCTGTTGTGATTGGTTGAATTTTGTTGGGTGATGGGGAAAGCTTTGATGAATTTTGTTTGATGGTGAAAGCTGTGATGGTGAATTTTGTTGGTGATGGTGAAAGCTTTGATGGTGAATTTTGTTGGTGATGGTGAAAGCTGTGATGGTGAATTTTGTTGGTGATGGTGAAAGCTGGTGATGGTGAATTTTGTTGGTGATGGTGAAAGCTTTGATGGTGAATTTTGTTGATGGTGAAAGCTGTGATGGTGAATTTCGTTGGTGATGGTGAAAGCTTTGATGGTGAATGATTGAAAAGCTTGATGGTGAATGGTGATGGAAAGCTTTGATGGTGAATTTTTTGGTGATGGTGAAAAGCGAGATGTTCGAGACTGTGATCGTGATGCCTTTCGTGAAAATTATGGTGATTTTGATAGTGACGATGATATTGATGATTGTGGTAGACATAAGGACGTTAGTTGTATGTTGATAGATAGTTATTTACTGATAATTAAAGTAGTATTGCTTTATACTAACTACTTAACTGTTGTAATTATCAAATGACAGTAATCTGAATGATCACCAACAATAATCATGATAAATAAAAGTGAAAATGATGGTGATGATAATGATAAGTAAAGATGAGAATGATGGTAAGAACAATGGTAGTGATAATAAAAAAACAATACAATAAGGTCGCCGATGTAATAAAGATATTCACACCTGAAGAAATCCATTAAATTCAGCTCTTTCTGACGCGAGGTGGTGCAACCCTTTGAAAAATTCGTGGATCCGGATCAACACCAAAATTTAATGGAATCTAAGTTAGGCTCAGGCACACCTCTGGTAAAGTGTTCATTAAAAAATCTGTTCGTAACATTTTGAGTTGTCTTGCTAACCAACGAACAAACAAACTAATTAGCCAGTGCGATTAAAATCATTACCTCCTTGAAGGTTATGATGAGATAATGATAGCAATAATAACGATGACAATGATAATGATGATAATAGTGATAATAGTAATAATCATAGTAATGATACTGATAACGGTAATAAAGATAATGATAACAATAATGATAATTATTATAATGCTACTAGTAGTTATTCTAATGATAATAATGATTATTACTATTATAATAATACTAACAACAATAATGATAAACATAATCTTATTAATGATAATGATCACACCATACTAACAATCGCCATCATAGCAACAACAGACGAAAGAACAGTCATAAAAGCGAAAACTCACACGCGAGTCCCATGTGTGTCTCTAGTCCACGCACACCACACCTACACGCCACAGGGAGGCCAAACCGGGTCTCGTCTCGCCCGGGGCTGCTGCTCCCGCCGGGTAGTGTCCCCCGGGGCTAGAAATCTGCCTGTCCGATGCAGTTCCTGACACGGGTGGTGGGCTGCGTTTGAGTGAGTGTGTGTGTGTGTGGGTGTGTGCGTGTGTGTGTGTGTGAGAAGGGTGAGAATGTGTGTGTGAGAGAGAGTGAGAATGTGTGTGTGAGAGAGAGAGAGAGAGTGTGTGTGTGTGTGTGAGTGAGAGTGTGTGTGTGTTGTGGTGTGAGTGTGTGTCGTGTGTGGGTGTGGGTGTTGTGTGTGCGTGTGTGTGGGTGTGAAGGAATTGTGTGTGTGTGTGTGTGAGTGTGTGTGTGTATGTGTGAGTATGTGTGTGTGTGTGCGTGTGTTGTGTGAGTGTGTGTGCTGTGTGTGTGTGTGTGGAGGAGTGTGTGTGTGTGTGTGTGAGGGAGTGTGTATGGGTGTGTATACTGTATGTGTGACTGTGTGCGTGCGTGTGTGTGTGTGAGTGAGGAGTGAGTGTGTGTGTGTGTATGTGTTTGGGTGTGTATGTGTGTGTGTGTGTGTGTGATAACAGCAGAAAAAGAGAGAGAGACAAACAGATAGACAAAGATTTGTGTGTACGCTTGCGAGTATATGTGTGCGTGTTGTGTGTGTGTCTTTGCGTGTAATGTGTGTTGTCAGTGTGTATGTATGTGTGCGTTTATTAATGTACACGTGTGCTGGTAAGAGAGAGATTCTAAGTGTCAATTTGTGTGTGTGAGAAAGAGAAAGTGTCTATCTGTATCTCTGTGTCCGGATTTTATGTGTGTACGTTTTTGTGCGTGTATCTGTGTGTCTGTATCTGTATGTGTACATTTTATTTCGGTGGTGAAACTATGATTTTTTTTTTTTTTTTTTTATAGTGTTTATGGGTTTGTATTCCACACACTGAGTGTATAAATGCAATCTACATTATCTTACACTTATACAAGCTCTCCACAATCTTTTTTAATCTTACTGAATGTTGTAGTAACCTTAGTGAAAATCTTAGGTCAAAATCCAAATGCATTTACACGTATTAATATCATAACAAGTTAATATGAAAAAGGTCATACTTTTTATTTTTTTATGTTTTTTTTTTTATTTGACCTTAAAGAGGGAAGTGTTTTAAGGTCATCTTGCCATTGTTAGAGATCTGTACACATTATGAACATCATTTAAACTTCGATGCTGATTCGCAACAAGTTTCACGCGGAAATCCTAAAGCCTCCGAAGCAGGACGTCAGCAGACCGAAGCAGGACGTCAGCAGACCGAAGCAGGACGTCAGCAGACCGAAGCAGGACGTCAGCAGACCGAAGCAGGACGTCAGCAGACCCGAAGCAGGACGTCAGCAGACCGAGCAGGACGTCAGCAGACCGAAGCAGGACGTCAGCAGACCGAAGCAGGACGTCAGCAGACCGAAGCAGGACGAGCAGAAAGCAGGACGTCAGCAGACCGAAGCAGGACGTCAGCAGACCGAAGCAGGACGTCAGCAGACCGAAGCAGGACGTCAGCAGACCGAAGCAGGACGTCAGCAGACCGAAGCAACGTCAGCAGGACGTCGAAGCAGGACGTCAGCAGACGAAGCAGGAAGCAGGACAGTCAGCAGAGAGCAGAAGATCGAAGCAGGACGTCGAAGCAGACCGAAGCAGGACGTCAGCCCGAAGCAGGACGTCAGCAGACCGAAGCAAGGACGTCAGCGATCGAAGCAGGCGTAGCAGCGAAGCAAGGAGCAGAGATCGAAGCAGGAGTCGCAGACCGAGCAGGACGAGCAGGACGTCAGGAAAGCAGGACGTCAGCAACCGAAGCAGACGTCAGCAGACCGAAGCAGGACGTCAGCACGACCGAAGCAGGACGTCAGCGAAGCAGGACGTCAGCAGACCGAAGCAGGAGTCAGCAGACCGAAGCAGGACGTCAGCAGACGTCGAAGCAGACCGAAGCAGGACGTCAGCAGACCGAAGCAGGACGTCAGCAGACCGAAGCAGGACGTCAGCAGACCGAAGCAGGACGAGCAGCAGGACGTCAGTCAGCACCGAAGCAGGACGTCAGCAGACCGAAGCAGACGTCAGCGAAGCAGAGCAGATCGAAGCAGACCGAAGCAGGATCCAGATTACGTCAGCAGACGAAGCAGGAAGCACGAGACCGAAGCAGGACGTCAGCAGATCGAAGCAGGACGTCAGCAGATCGAAGCAGGACGTCAGCAGACCGAAGCAGGACGTCAGCAGACCGAAGCAGGACGTCAGCAGATCGAAGCAGGAAGCGAAGCAGACGTCAGCAGACCGAAGCAGGACGTCAGCAGACGAAGCAGGACGTCAGCAGATCCGAAGCAGGACGTCACAGATGTCAGCCGAACCAGTAGAACCCAACAGCTGATGACTTGCAAGGCGAACCCACTGAATTGCAAATATATTGAAGAACACAAGAGAAGTTCCTATTTCCTATCGCTTCCTATTATTGTTTAGTTTCTTAATTGATACTTCCTGTTTGCTGTTTCCTAACCTCTCTTATTGCCTATTATTTTCCCATTTCCTACCTTTACCGTTTCGTATTTCCTATATTTCTATTCATGTCTCCCATTTCCGATTTTCTATATGTCCTATTTCTATTTCCTATGTTAATTTCTCAGTTATCTTTATATGTTAA